GCCCATGGGCCAAGATCAGGAGATCAAAGGTGTAGCAAAGAGTGACTGCCATACACCTCTGTGTTAAATTTTGGCTCCTTGATCTTACGGAAGCAAGCTGGGAGAAAGCTGCAGCCAGTCCTTTCTAACAGAGCATAAAGATTATTTTCCTCTTAGTTTATTTGATGTTCATGGCCAGTGTATCCAAACATCAACAATAAGGCTCCAGAACTCCAACCTCCGCCCTTTGCTATAGGCACAGGAAGACAATTTGCTGCTGTCATGGATCACAGAGAGCCAAAATATCTCAGGACCCAGAAACCACTAGCTTGAGCCTGGCAGGCAGGTGAGATTATTTGACAAACCTGCTTGGCGAAGGCTCAGGACGAGCACAGCCCATGCTCAGGTGGCCACACTCCATATCGCAGTAGTGACTGTGCCCTGCTGCCCAACGGAGCAGACCACACAGGACTAGCTCTGCAGGGCCTGGAGTAGCTGCTCACTAACCTTCACATAGCAGTTGATATAAGCTGCATGTTTTATACCTCAGTAAATCAGAAGGCTGAGTAGCCCAAGCTTCCACTTGCTGCTAGGGCTGGGCTGGCAACACAGTTTTCCTGCTAAGAAGCTACTTGCAAAGAGACAGAGTGGGAGGCCAGGTCCTGCACTCCTCTCTCCATAGCAGAGGCAGGCTCTTTGCTGTAAGGAAGGGGTTTCTGCTAAGCCATGCAGGGCAGAAAGAATGTGATGAGCAAGACACCCTTTAAGGCTCCACTCAGAGGTTTGCCAAGGTTTGTTGTGTCCGGATAAGTTTCATTCCAGGGGACTGCTAGCTTCAGCATGCTTAGAACTAGCAGCATAGAGGGGTATGCACGTCTTCAGAGGTCCACCCAGGCCTGCAAAACACAGCTGGAAGCTTGTAATGGATCCCTCCCCTGAAAACTTCATGCCTGTATATAAAGCATCCCAATATCCAAAGACAAAATTCCAATGAGTATGGGTGGAGGGCAAAAGGGAGAGCACCCGCTTGGGATTCCTCAGCACTGAAACCCTTGCTGTAACACAAGGAAAGCAGAAGTTTCCTCCTCTGGCAGTGTCTCACAGCAGACAGCAATTACAACCAATGGCAAACATGTTTCAAGGTTACTTGGTTAAGGGAAAATAAAGTCCTATTTTACCTCATCCAATTTGCTCATCTAGAGGCTGAGTCTATCAGCTGAAACAGCAAGTTCTTGCCGCCACTGTAGTAGCACTTTTCTGTTTGAGGGCAACATACTAGTTTATAACATCACGTTCAAGCAATCTGAGTGCCAGAGTGCAAACAGGAGACTTGTGCCGCTGAATATTGATATCCAGAGACAACTGCTTTCACCAGAATCTAAATTTTTTGCCAAAAGGGAAAAAAAAAACAGTGATCAGAACCAAAGAAATCAGGCAGGCATTCCCTACCCTAACGGTAAATGTGAAACTAACTCCCAAGGGAAGACACAGACTTTCATTTTTCTGAGATCTTTGTGGGTTTTTTTTTCTTGTTGTTGTTGTTGTTTGGTTGGTTTTTTTTTTTTGACTCATAATCAAGGAAATCTGTAAGAGACAGACATGAGCCCCCATACAGAAACCACTGATGAAGCTGGGCTGACAGAGGCCACTCCATCACTTTCAGGACAGCCACCCCACTGGCTCTGAGCTGCTCTTCTTTCAAATCCTTGGAAGAATTACTGAGATGCCAAAGAAAAGGAAATGGCTTTGGCAGGAGAGAGGATTCTCAGGGTGATGCACAAAGCCTTTGGTGTAAGCTAAATAAGGATGACAATCCTCCCCAAGCTCCAACGGGAATGGTGGAGATTGCCATGCAAGGCTATTTCACAAGCATGGAAGTAAGAAAGGGCAGCACTGACCCTGCCTGCTCCAAGCACACCTTCCCACCTCCCAGCCCAGGCACACAGCAGCCACATCTCCATTATGTTTGAGCAGAACATTGAACACGGGGCACTTCCCAGTACCCTGCTCAAAACCAGAAAGAAACCTGATGAAAGTGTAAAAACCAAAACCAAACCAAACCAAGCAAACAAACAAACAAAACAACCCAAAAACCAGAGCCACGCAAACAGTGCAAAAGCCAGAAGACTTCACAGTTCATCACGAGGCTTACAGGGGCTGACCCACTCAACGTGCCAGAAACACAGCAGGTGGGTGTGTGATGGCACCTTACGACACGCCCTTGTGAAATGGATGGTGTGGGGATGGGAAAACTATACACGTGGGCAAAGGCAACACTGAGCCCTGACTGCTCAGGGGAGGCAGCAGCAGCAAAGACTCCTGCTCATTTCCAAGGTGGCGCATAGGCAACAAAAGAAATTGTTTGGGAACTCGGTGTCATTTTCAGTTTGGCTTTTATTTTCATTGACTTCAACAACAAGGTGTTCCAAAGCACACACAGGTCTTGGTGCAGGCAACACTGTCATTGCTACAAGCATTGGCAGATTCTCAGCTCAATTAACCCATATGCTTTGATGTATCAAAAACAAAACAAAACAAAACAGAAAAAAATCACAGGTCTACAGAGGAGGGTAAAAGCTACAGCAGTTCAATCTCACTTGAAGATTCCAGTTATACAGAAGTGGGCTCCATAGTGGTATACAGTAGAAAGGTTTTCACAGCATATATTTTAATCATTAGTGATGCAGCAGAAAAGCAGACTGCTGACCATCTCACTGCTGAGTTGAAAAGCAGATACTGAAGTTCTTGTACCCAGACTCTGGGCACAGCCTTAACTGCATTAACCTTTATAGTAGAAGCTTCCTAGTCCCTAAAATGACGGTAATTTTTGCATCAATATTGGTACAATACTGAAGCAGCTCAGAAGGATTACACAATGGTGCTGCAAAACCTGGGAGGTGAGAAGGGCACAGCCCAATTCACCTCCAGGAATTTGCAAAGTATCCACACTAACTTTCCCCACACTAACACTGCCCCACTGAATTAATTCTTGCACCAAGTCAAGAGCAGGATGACTCGCTTCTTTTGTAGCATATAGGAAAACAACAACAAAAAAGACATAGTAAGTTTTCACACTGAGCATGTTAAATACTTTGAAATCTAGGACACTGCTCTTTGAAGTGTTACAAAATAAAAGATAAAACAGGCTTCCAGTACCTGCTCCCCTCCCCCTCAACTGCAATGTAACGCAGGAATCTCAGTATGAAAAATACAAATATATTTGTCCAGTGACGAGTCATTTGTTACAAGGTATACTGTAAGAGTTCTGCATAAAAATAATAATTAAAAAAAACCAGAAAAACAAACAACATTTTATTGTGGTTCTGTCAGACCCAGTAGCCCAAGAAGAAATAAAAATTGGCATGTTATGCTGTAGGAAACAAAAACGACACATACAAAAAATATTTATATACACACTTTACAGGGTAACAATCTTGCATTACCATTTAGAGCTATCCAAAATAGGCTTGCACAGTTACTGAAAGGCAGTCTTTGAATGCAACACAGAGCTGGCCCAACAGACAGATGGAGTAGGCTGCTAACAATATTAGGCTTAAATGAAATACATGGCACTCAGCAGGGCCCAGAAAAAAGCCACTGCATTGAAACGAGATGATTTGCTTATAGTAAGGTAGCATGACAAGTGATTTAAGCTGCTTTTTTCATCTTCCCTCAGCTAAAAAAACCCAAACAAGAAGTCAGGCTTACTGTTGAAAAGAGCAGGCCAACTTGAAAGCAGCTGTGCTGAGCTGAGCTCCTCCATTTAGGTTTGCTTTGTATATGTTTGAGTCTCACTACCTTGGCCTATCTGAACGTGAAAACACGCACTCTGCTCAGTTACTTGTCCACAGGATCACTGGCAGTCAGAGGAAATGCTTCAGAGCACAGCTGCTGTAGAACCAATGAAGAAATAACAAAAAACAAATCCAAAAAAAGAAAAAACCCACCCAAAAAACCACCAACAACCACAGAGAAGAATCAATGTCTCATGTAAACATGACTTTCTGCAGTAGCAACACTCATATTACCAGGAACTCGACCTTGTTCCAAGGCAGTTGGAAATATCTTTCTTTTCTTTACTCTCCACTTCTAGTTGCTCATCACTTAGTCTATAGTCACCATCAACAAACCAACAACAAACTCCAGCCTATTACAGATATATTTAAAGACGGTTCTACTTTACTTGGCATGAAACCAATCTAGCATGGTCCAAGTAAAAGATTGTCTGGGTTTAGGATAGCTGAAGCCCTACAAATCAGTGTGCAGCTCTCAGCTGGTTCTCTGTTCAACTGGAGGCTAGGCAGGCAAATCCTTATGCTAAACTAACCAGGCTGCATATGTGGCAAAGCCTAATTCTCTAGCTTAAATGTCAGTAGTAGTACCGAATGGCTAAAGGTTGGGTCAAGGGCAGAATTCAAGAGTGACTAATGGCTGTAATTGCATTTATATCCTGAAACAAACCAGGACATAGATACGAATGTAAATTTAAACCAAGAAGAGACAGCAGGTTTGTTTCTTTTCCCAGAGAAGGTGAGGGAAAATGAAAAAGTGAGTTGCAGGTGGCTGTAAGCACTGGCCTGCCCAGCAAAGTGCATGTGCTGTCTCCGCTGGAGAATATTACACATGAACAGAGCACTCAGCTCCGCGGGAAGAGGCTGGTTAAGTGCAACATTCAGCAGACCAATTCCCGAGTATTTTTCAGATGAACTGCCAGTTCAGAGTTTGGTGACTTTGGGTTTTTTGCATTTGGTTTTGGGGTTGAGGTGGGGTTTTTTTTGGCTTTTAAGAAAATTATTTTTACCTTCCTGCTTTTCAAAGCGAGATCGCTGGATGAGAGAGACAAGTTTGCAGGTCAGGATGCCCACAAGGTGTGTGAGGATTCAAAAGTCAAGAAAAGAAGCCCTCTCCCCAAAGGAAAACACAAAACAAGAACACCACCTTCTCGAGAAGGTCAACGGCTTTTGAGGAAATACCA